AGCCCCGGAGATGGAGGCAGTATGTTTATCCGAATTTTTGTCATGTGCCTACAAATCCACATCGCGTCATAACCCAGAAAAAACAAGGTCGACATCGATGACAAAGCTTTTGTTCTGAAGTGTGGGCACTTGTTCTCCGTTGCCACGGCAACTATTGTGCAGCTCACAGAAACGTCTATAAAAAGATTTAAATTAAATATTACACGGAAGCCCCAATACAATTGCAGCTTCTCGTCTTTCAATGAGAACACAAATTATCTATCTACTTTTCTAACAGTGTTTACTTTCTTTCATTTGTTACAGACAAAATTCAACCCTCTGACAGCCATTGTATTCACGCTGGATTTTTTCCTTCTGTGCCTCAATGTAAGTATTTCTTTATATAATTCTCGTCGTCATCATTATCATCCAACGAACGCTGTTACGAATATTCTCTGACCCTTTGTGCTCCCTTTTGCGTTTGTTCCTGGACGGGTGTTTGCCAGATATATTTCAAAACTATAGTTTTAGTTGTAGGGTTTTAAATTGAACACCCTGTACTCCATCTTAAAGAGCTTGTTCGAAGTTCACGAGTGCACTGTCACCGTCTCCTATACGACAAAGTCTTCAACGTCATGATACTCGTGTTGTTTTTTTTAGAAAAAATCCATCAACTGGTGACTCACATATTGATGTTTACACTTGACAGCATTTTTCCGGAATGTTGGCTCTACCTACAAGTCTGCATCCAAACGAGAAACATCAACACAGAAAGGAGTAACAGAATAAACAACGATCATAACTGAAATCAAGAAATAATCCCCTGTATCGTGCATCAACTTTTGCGTTTGTTCCTGGACGGGTGTTTGCCAGATATATTTCAAAACTATAGTTTTAGTTGTAGGGTTTTAAATTGAACACCCTGTACTCCATCTTAAAGAGCTTGTTCGAAGTTCACGAGTGCACTGTCACCGTGTCCCATACGACAAAGTCTTCAACGTCATGATACTCGTGTTGTTTTTTTTAGAAAAAATCCATCAACTGGTGACTCACATATTGATGTTTACACTTGACAGCATTTTTCCGGAATGTTGGCTCTACCTACAAGTCTGCATCCAAAGAAGAAACATCAACACAGAAAGGAGTAAGAGAATAAACAACGATCATAACTGAAATCAAGAAATAATCCCCTGTCCGTGCACCAAAATAGTTCCAATTCACACGCCCTGATAAACCAAAGTCCCCACAACTCTAAAGTTCTTGATAAATCTTAGCTTAAAAGTGTGTAAACTGGAGCTTCTGAGTACAGTTTACGATTCTCTAGTAGGTCGAAAAGGACCGGACAGGGAAATATTAAAAGGGAAATAGATACGTGTCACTGGTGATACTGTATGCTGTCAGACGTCACTGACCTTTTCTGTAGTGATCACGAAATTACGCTCAAGAAATGCCTTGCCTGATTAAGCCGTATCCTCCGTGGAAACCAATGACCTTTAGTAATATTCACACCCAATTCCTTCCCTGCAAGGCATTGCAATTTGCTGTCAGCCGTAATTGGGTCATGTTGTTTCTCTTTCCTTCTACAAATTTTCTGAGCACACGAGGTGGAACGGGAAACCCCCACCAGTACCTTCAGCAAAACAAGCTCCTGACTTAATTAAATGAATACAGAAAGGAAGTACTGTAATTGAAATGTGGGACAACAGATGATAAAACTCTGAGACCCGAGACCTTCTGAGTCCCCCCCCCCCTGGTAACTTGAGAAACTTCATTTGCAGGGAGAATAATAGAAAAATTCTGTTGAATTTTTCGAAATCGAAAAGGGAGTTAATCGATTCAGAGGTCACTTAACAAAGCAGTTTCAACCACTGAGATAAATCAGAGTAGAATTTGATTTATTACAAAAATGTTATCACCTCTTTCAAGGTACTATCCCAGCATTCGTGTAGAGGAACTGAGGAAAACCACTTGTTAAATTACAGTTAAAAATACTTTGTTCTTGCTTCTGCTATTTAAAAAGGTAAATTATTAAAGTAAACAATGAATTTCCCTCGTTTTGTTACCATTTGCTCATCAGTCGACGGATACATTGCAACTGAATGTCGTGTGCCAAGCACGTAGCATTAGTTGAGGTAATCAGTCAACAGAGGAATTACATACGATGTAATGACCAAGATTTACTCTCAGTATATAGTAGCCAAACAGAACAAACAGAATTACTAACATACGGCAGTGCTGTCAACGCACATCCCCACTCTAAAATTATATGGAGTGATATGCAACGTAGATATAATTACTGTACAGACCCAATACGTGAAACAATTTCGATGAGATAGAAATTTAATATAAAAGGAAAGAAATTTGACTGAGCGGCCAGTTCTGCAACAACTGGCGTCTATAATACGTGAATATCAAGGTTAAGAGACACCAAACATCTCGTAACAACGGAACTCAGAAAGTAGCAGAATACGTAATTTTTCGCTGTTCATTTCCAGACTACATAACATGATCGGAATTAAAACTTTTTCGCAAATTTCTCATTAATGAACTTTCGGCATTCAAATTAAGAAATCTTAATGCAATACTCTTGAATAATACTTGTGTTAAAACAACTGTAATGGTATCATTGCGACTATAACAATTTTGGGGGAACCCCCCAAAAAAACCCTTTAAATAAAATCTTTTGTTTTAGGGGCGTTATTTGCTGCGAATATCTGAATCACAATTACAAATGGCAGGATGTAATTCATTTAGCGATTTTTAATCTCACTTGAAACCTCCCTTAATAACGCGATGCATAGGTGTGGCCGTGTGTGCCAGTTCCCAGTGGTCACTGCTTCATGCCCCGCCGAACTCATAAAATTTGCAACGTTTCAAAAAAAACCTGCATGGCCTTCCAATTTGTGGACCACTCGGATGTTCTTACAAGTTAATGCGGTACTTTATAAAGACATTTATAAGGACTTGAGAAATAAACCAACCACGAATTTGCGTATTATTAATGCAAATAATAGCGTGATCCATTTAATACCGTACCGAATTATAAAGATTGTATTTTATTTCTCGCTGAACAGAAAACATTAACAAATCTAAAACTTCTTGACGATGGTGAAGAGTCAATTGAATAAAAATTTTCTTGGATATTATCCATCGTCTAGTAAATATAAAACGTA